TGAAAATTTTAAGGTTTCTTATATTTATGATAGGGTAAGAAAGTAGAGGAAATGGATAGAAGACATTACAGATTTATCTTTGGAAGCAGAAGTATGAGCTAGGAGTTACTTTTCAAAAACCAAAACTGCAATCTAAAAAACAAGTGACCCTAATTATTCGGTTAGTGGTTAAGACCACATAATTTTACAAATTTAAAGGAAACACAAGGAACAAAGAGACAGAAAATCCATACCTGAAGATACAATTAGCAATATCCAGAATGTGTGAAATTCTACAGGACTTAGGATCCAGTTTCCTCAACAATAAATTACAAGTGAAAAAAAAAAAAAGCAATAGAGAACCTACACATTTAAAAAGTTTGTAATGTATGGACCTTCTATGATGACCACTTTGAATATTCAGTTTGTTTAAACAGTTTTTCAACAGGAAGTTCTAAAAATTAAGTAGATATCTGATGATATCAAGGGATTTCTGTGAATTTTACTAGCTGTGATAATGGTATTCTGATGGGGTGGGCTGTTTGATTGTTTCTTTTAGAGACATATTAAGGAAAAAATAAATCACTTGGAAAAATTCTTTTTAAAAATCAGTGATGAGTCCAGAGATATAACTGGTGTGGTATAGGATCTAGACAGCATAGTAATCCTGTCCTCAGGTGACTCTAATAGCAACCATCTTTTGTTGCTGACCTGGGGTAAGATCAATAGAATAAAGAACTCAAACCTAGTTATGAATACAACTACACCTACCTCTTCTTGAAATCTGTATTTATTATTGGCACTCATGGCTAAAACTGACATCTCTAAATTCTACTGTACTTATTTTTAAGTACATGTTAAGATTTTAACTAAGTATGTTTATCTTCCTATATATATTGAACAAACCAGAAACCACAATGGCAAAAGCCTTAATGTACATGTACAAGGCAATTAGTAACATCTATAACATAATTATCAAGAGATTAATGAGAAAGCATCTTCAATAAAGCAACTGGAATGGAGCATTACTTATGATAAGTCAACTTCATTCCAGTTTAGACTTATTTCTTATTTGGCCAGCCAATGCAGGAAGAATGATTGCTAAGAAATACCTTAATGGGGAAATGATCACCTTCAATCTTCAATAAATCCCTCTTGGATAGAAAAATAAGCAAAAGGACTAAATAATATCTAATTATTTGACTACAATAATAAACAAAATACTCCCTTAATTTATCTTATAGGTTGCCATATAATTACTGCATAGTGAAATGAAAGGATGCCATAGTATATCTAGCCAGGGGCTTTTCTATGATCTAAAAATGCAGCTCTCCTTAAAAGTAAGGACATCTGGGCCCTCCCTGGTGGCGCAGCGGGTTAAAACACAGCACTAAGAAGCTAAAGCCACTTCCGCATGAGTTCGATTCCAGCCTGACCGGGAAAAGATCCACAAGGCGTGGCAGACTTCTCCTGACCCGCCCACTGCTCCCCTCAGCAGTGTACTTCATCGATCTGCCTGTTCTGCTCCCCACTCTGTCTCTGATGAATCCTCTCATCATCCACATCTCTGGCCTATACACCAGTTCCATATGAATAAATAAATCTTAAAAAAAAAAAAAAAGTAAGGACATCTGGGAAGCAATTTCCCAATCCCAACATTATATATTGTAGCTTTAGCAGAGAATAATTGCTGTCTCCACACTGAAATCATCCACAAAATATTATGACATTTATATAAAGTTCAGAACTAGTTCAACAGCCAAAGAATCAAACCATGATAACACACATGACACACACACACAAAATGAAGTGTATCAGAAGTATCAGGAGGAAGGCTTTATATTTGCCAGGTCATGCAAATTTCTCTTCTGGTTTAGCCAAAGTCAAAAAACAAAAACATGCTGCAAATTCAAGGGGGGTTAAAAATAATTTAAAGCATTGGAGGTGTTTCTTAAAAACAAGTCAAAAATAAAAGAGCACACTCTCTAAAACCCTGACTTTATTATGAAAACCTAGGGGGGAAGTTATTACACTGAGTTATTACACTGAGCTAACACACTATGTGTTAGTTACACATTCAAGAATGGCTTCTTAGGCATGGAGTGATATGTTCCAAAATGTTTTTGAGATGAGAGAAGTTTAGAATAAGTTTCAGCTGTTATTTCATGGCTGCCACTAAGTCTGGAAAGACTAGTTATGGCTATGGTATACTTTGGCTGAAAAAAAAAACTATTGTAGAAAAAAATGGCTTTTTAGAGGAAGCCATTTAAGGAAAAAACGATGACCTCAGCTAAGTAGGAACTTGACAACTCAATGTCTGTGTGTGGGTAGTCACAAATATGAAGTCTAAGATAAATTGGAGGGAGGAGGAAGAAAGAACACTGGGGAAGATAAAAGTAATATTCTTAGACAGGTAGGATACTGAGTAAGTAGACTAGACTCCAAGGACAGAAATACCAGTTCGGTAAGTAACTCAAATTATGATTAGAGAGATATTTTACAAATATTTGCTAACTAATATGATTATTAAGACTACTTTGGAAAATACTGTGTCCAAACTGAATCTAGTTTGACTTGTAATTCAGGTTTATGAAGTCTTTTCTTGGACTTTATTTTCCAGCCCATTAATCTTTATTAATATTCTCTAAAATATCTTCGAAGTTTCTACTCCTTTAACATTTAGAGAGATAAATATAAAAAATGATTATTGGGTTCTAGAGTATGCAGTAAAAAAATTATTCTTGTTTATACTTTACAGGACTTGTAGGTATTCCATTAAAAGTATGGATCATTTCAAAGTAAATTTCCTTAAATTTAGTTCAACAATCAAACATACTATTCCAGGAAAGGGCATTTAATGCTTTTTTCCTATTCAGTATTTCAACTTCTCTTTCCAATGGCTTAATATTTTTGCCCTTTGTATTTCTGGGTAACCTGAAAGTAATTTCTGTCAGGTAACTTAGAGTTCTGGCCATTTGGGGGGGGGGAGAAATGTTAAGATTTCTATTCAGAAAGTAGTCTCTAATAATGCTGAGGATTATTTCAGTACTTCTAGTAGGAAAAACTGAAAACAGTAATTAATAAAATTATCAAGAAATAGCTTCATTCAGAATATTTTCTTTTTACATAAGTCACACATTGATGTATAAGTAGCAATAAGGCACTTTATCATTTAATATGAACATATTTGCATACAACATTTAATTCTCAAAAGTGCTTTGACTTCCCCTTCAGAGTTTTTTTCCCTTATGCAGAAAATCAGTTTATTTTCTATCAGTGCCCTTTTGTTTTTTTAGAGTGGCTTTCCTCTAGGGAAAAAAAAAAATCCAAGTACTGTATATGGTGCTTGAATATGACTTGCAAACCACAAAGGACAGAGAGAAGGGGGAAAAGGGAAAGAGAACGAGGGGAGAGAAGATAAGGGAAATGAGAGGAATGGGGAAAAAGGAGAGGAAAAACAACTCAAGCACAAACTAAAACATTTAACATGATACATGGCAGAAACAGCACTTTAGGAGATCTGCTTCTAGTTCCAGGTTTGCCGGTAACCAGCTTGCTATAAGACTTCCTATGAGTCTTATTAAAACTTAATAATTAATACTCAATTGTTTCTTAAATAGTGAAGTGAATTTAACTTAATGTTCATTTTAGATTTGGCTTTTTAAAAATCGACTACAGTTAAAAGTAATTTTCAACTTTTGGATTATAACAGCTCTATGAAAGGTGCCACCCTTATGCCATATGGAGTTAGTCCTTCCTTTCATCTCAATTTGACCTGAGATCTGAATTACTTATGCAGCACACTCAAGATGTACTTTGGAGGAAGATGGCCAGGGAAAGATTCCTTTATCTAAGAGCTAGAGCCGAATGTTAAGGGAGTTAAGGAAAGAGTGCATATTAATGCAATAACAACTAATCGCTTTCAAATCAGGAGCACAGATAAACACTGCTTAAATTTCGAGGGTGGGGGTAGCATAACACGATGACGGAGGCCCTGAGCAGAGGCTTTCAGGCGAACTCTATCCCTCCATCCCTCAAACCCGTGTTCCCCCAGTGGACACCAAACCAGTCTCCAGTTCCGGGTTGCCAACCAATAGCATCAAGCCACAACAGAGGGTTCTGCCAACCCGGGCACTGTTTCAGGGCTGTAGAGTGAAATCCACAAGACCCCAGCACCTGTCGGCCTCGCACCCTTCACAAAGCAAGGAGTGGGAGAGAACAGGAGGTCCATCCCCATTTCTTTTCCATTCAGGCTGGTCCATCAGTCCTCAGCACTGAAAACCAGCTCAGTACTCCGGGGGAGAGACCCTATCACGCATCCTTCCCCCCAGGGCTAATGCTCCAGTTTACAAGTCCCAACCTCCGACCGTGGTTTCTCAGGCCGCAGGGCACGGGGCCTGGGAGGCGGGCAGATGGGGTGCCGAAAGTAAAAGCAGCGGGGGAGGATGTGCTCCTCGCCACTGGGGGGGAAAAGCTAGAAAAGCAGGGGTTGGGGAGCTGTGTTCCCACTCGGCGAGGGCGGGAGGCCGTCCGTGAGTCTGTCGAAGAGTCTGTCATTCCTTCACTCACTCACCAGGAGCAGCAGGGAGCATCTGAGGTCGGGTAAGGATAGGAAGACCGCAGGATTCATGATAACGCTGGGGTCCACCGCAGGGACAGACGTTGGCGGCTGGGACTGGGCGGGGGTGGGGTTGGGTTAGGAAAGGGTTGGGCTCCGGGAGCCAGTGGCAGCGGAGGATTCACCCGGCAGCAGCACCTCGTCCTCTCGACCCGGAGCTCCAGCGGCGAACACCCGGGACAACTTCCAGAGAGGCCTCACACGCCCTCCCTTCCGGGTCCTGCCCACCTTAGAGCACATCGGGAAATGTAGTCTCGCACAGCTCTCGGGCAGGCCCGTCATTGGGCAGCCGGAACTCCCTTTCCCATCAGGCTCTCGGTCCGGGTCCACCGAGTCCTCCGTGCGCGAGGCCCTGTGGGAAACAAAGGGCAGAGGGCGTGTGTGCCTCTAAGGACGAGAACTACAATTCCCAGAGGACTGTGCGCTGGAGCGTTTCAGGCGGCCTTCTGAGGGGCTCTCCTAGTTTCAGCGTGTTGGGATCTCTCCCAGCCGGATGTAGTGTCCTGGCCTGGCGGGAGGGGCGGCCCAGTGGGGGTCGTGCCTCCTGGAGCCGCCCCGGGACGTGTGTCCTGGAGGAGGCGAGGGTGAGTAGGAGGGGGCCTGGCTGGGGAGGCTTTCGTCGATCCACACTGCCCTGGCCCCTACCTCAGATTCACAGCCCTCCTGGCCTGGTCTGGGCCTTAGCCTCCATCGCTGGTCTCAAAGCCTGCTGCCTCTTTCTGTGCTAATTCCTGCATTATAACGTCAGAGCCACCTCTCAGGGCCTCAGGGATTTAAATCGTATATTCTCTTTGCACCCCTGTAAGGAGCATATAGGGGATGGAATGGGAAAGAAAGTTGTAACCGGAAAACAAGTGTGAGTGGTTGCTACTAATGCATGGGTCACTGTTACAGAATAATTGCCACATTCTATAGCCAAGCAGTTGAGCATCTCAACATGGCTCCAGTTCACTCTCCATCCTCATCTCCAAAACCCCGCCCCAAATGGTAGCCACTCAGTCACTCCTCGGAGGCGTTCTGCTCTTCAGATTCTCGCTTTGCCCTGCCTTTGCTCCATCTTTCCTGCTACCCCGAGTGACCTTAACCCATTCCCTGTCTGAAATGCCATCTCAAAAAAAATGTTACTGTTGGGGACCGCATCATTTGCGGGTCCTTGGTATGTCTGAAGAAAAGAATTTCACAAAGCACCGGGATAAAACCAGCAATAAAGTTCATTAGGAAACGATAGGGCAGATTAATGCGTGTGAGAGGCAGTAGACAGTCTCAGAAAGCCAGAGAGTTGCACCAAGCAGTAAAGCTGTAGCGTTCTCAAGGTTTTTTTGTTTGGTGTTGGGAAGGGGCCCCTCTTAATTATGCATACCTTGCTTCCAACACTCCATCCCATCCCAGGACTTAGTCAAAATACTCTTCCTTCTTTTCAAGTCCTGGAGAAAGACTCTTCCCAGATCTGCCAGACCTTATCTAGCCTTGAAGCAAATCGATAACCCCTGCTGGACTGTGAGATTGCAGAGATGCAGATCTGAAATACTCTGGGGGAGTGGGGCCTTTTCTATTCCTAACATCAGCACCTCTAATATCGTGCCAACAAACTTACTTGTAGTCCCAATCCGAATTAGTCTTCCTTAGCTTGTAACTACAGCGTACCACTAGTTTTGTACAGTTATAATTACTAATGCATTTACTGGACTGACAGATAACTAGTCAACGAGGATGCTTTTGCATTTTATAGCACTTAGTAACAAAGTGATTTTTATTTTCATCTATAAAATATATTCAAAAAACATCACTGCCAAAAAAAATACAATTGAGCCAAAAAATGGACCCTATAGAAGGGCTTTCCCCAAGGTGACAAAATTAGCAGAATCAAGATTTTTACTTAGATTTCCTCTCTCCTACTTCAATGCTATTACCGCTATACTACCCATTTACCTGTCTGACAAAACAGATAGAAATGGGGAATTTAACATGAGCAAAGACCAAAAAAAAAAAAAAACCACCCAGACTCATTACTCCACATTACTCCAAGAAGTTAAACTTTGATCCTGCTCACCCTTGGACTTAGCACTCAGCCTGTGATGCTTTCTTTATTCAGCAAACATTTACTGAGCACCAGTTATTTACCTGTAACTGTTCTAAATGCTAGGAATTATGAAGTGAAATATATGTGATACATGTTACATATATATTATTCACATGTATATATGTATATATAACAGCTCATTTTTTTCAGAGGGTATAAAGAACTTTTTGTAACTTTTTTTTTGAGGTAACATTAGTTTACACATTGTATATGTTCTCACCTCAGGTATGTTACCACACCTCACCCCCCAGCAAAACACCCTTAATCTTCCCCTTCTAGTAGCCTAAATTCTTCAGTCAGATTACTGGGATTTGTTTTGTTTTAGTTTTGTCTGTTCCTTTGTTTTGTCTCTTCATATTCCACATATGAGTGAACTCATCTAGTATTTGCCTTCTTCCTTCTGATTTAGATCACTTAACCGTCTCCAGTTCCATCCATGTTGTAACAAATGCAAGATTTCATCTTGTATATATATAACACATTTTCTTTATCTACTCATCTAACATGGGACATTTAAGTTGTTTCTGTAATTTGGCTATTGTTAAATAGTGCTATGATAAAGTAGTGCTGCAATTGGAGTGTTTATATCCCTTAGAATTAGTGTACTTTCATTCTTTGATAGATAAGTAGAATTGCTGGATCATATAGTTTATCTTTTTAATGTTTTGAGGACCCTCCATATTGTTTTTCATAGGGGCTGGGTCAGTTTAAATTATCAGTAACAGTGTATGAGGGTTCCTTTTTCTCTATACCTTTGCCAGTATTTGTTGTTTCAGGAATGTTTGATAAGGGTGGTTCCCATATCAGTGTGAAGCAGTATTTCATTGTGGTTTTGAGGTGCATTTCCCTAATGACATGTATTATTTTTCTTTGGAGAAGTGTCTGTTTAGCTTGAAGAGCTTTCTGGTGGTAATATGCCTAATACTCTGATATACTTGAAATGCCAGGTATTAGATTTCAGAACAATACGTAGCACACACTTGACACTCATCCTGTTGAATGAATAAACATGGGCTATCTTTTCATTTTCATATTTTACAGAAAATCAGCACTGATGTAGCCTAAGGGCATGTTGCTTATTATTAACAGAACTGGACCTTGAGCCCAAATGCAGTTACTCCTGTGTTTCCACCTTCCTGTTTTGTAGCTTCTTTCAAGTGACTTTAGTAAAATTCTGTGTATGATAGTGTTTTTTCTGTCATAACTGACATTCTCAGACATGACATAAATTTCTGACAAAGCCCATATTTTCTGCCAGCATGTCAAACTGTCAATGAAATAAAGACATGAAAAGCTGACCTTTACTAAAATTAAGAAAATACTTTGTCACTCCAAGGCAGAACTTGAACCAATAATCCTTGTCAGTGACAACTAAATACTAGCTCATGGATTGTGATAAATTTATTTTCCAAAGCTCCCAGATCCCAGAAGTCACAGAGATTAGAGTGACAATTTGGGGTGAATCGGAAGAGGGCTCACTTACTGTCAGCTGTGAGCTGTAACTTATTAACAGCTTTTCCCTTTAGATAAGTATGTGTGCTCTAGTTTGCCATGATCCCATGACTCCTGTGTTTTTTATACTGGTCACCTTCATGGGTCCTGTAGGCATTCAACATTGCCATGTTGTTACAGCACTCAAGGTTTAGGAAGGAAATTTAAGATCATTGCTGCAACTACTCTTTTCTTCTTGTACGTTGCTTTAATTCTTTCTGCTACATTTCTGACATAATTCATCCTCAGCTTAAATATTATTAAAATGAAGAACTCACTGTTTTCCCATGCTGCTAATGCATTTCTAGAAGATTCTAGCAAACCATATCAGAGCACCAGTCAGAACAAAATTTTCCTCAGTGAAATACTGTTACTCTTAATGGTGTAATATCCCAAATAAGATCATAACCATGGTATATTTTTCCTAGTGGACAGGAGGAGAGAACCAATAAAAATTTTTCTTTGGAGGGATTGAGAGAAAGAAAGAAAGAAAAACTATATCTTTTTTCCAAACTATTTAATTTGGAAGGTTATACATTTAATATTATTTCAGTATAGTTGTTTTTTTTTTTTAGGTAAAATTTATATAGAATAAAATCCAACATTTGTAAGTGTGCAATGTGATAGCATTTATTTATTATCTGTGTAGTTTTTAGATATCTCTTAATTTAGTGTTTAAATCTAATTAATTCTCACCTGACATTTAAGTTCACTCTATGGCTTAGTCATCACCTTTATCAACCCTGATCTTTACTGTTGTGGGAAATCAAATCACCTATCAATATAGAAATCATCATGGTATTTGAGCCCTGTGCTTAGTGTTAACTACTGAGCCCCCTTTCATCCTCAAATTGCCCAGAGAAGGGTTTCTTGGAAGCATCAAATCCTCTAGTTTTGCAGTTGAGCAATTTGAAAAAAGGGTCACCTAATTTGCTACATCATGACAATTCTAGCACTAGGATTATAGATTTTGTTTTCTAATCCGACTCAAATATCTCTAGTAAACCACATTTATAACATAGCCACTTAGAACTGATAAGACAGGTTTCAGAAGTGTTTTCTGTTTATACTTACTTACATTATTATTTCAGGCTGCTGCAGTTATTGAGAATACTATGAATAAGTCAGAGAACTTGTTCTTTACTGGTTCTTCATTGGCGTCCCAGGTTCATGCCGCTGCTATTAATGGAGATAAGGGTGTTCTTCACAGACTCATCATAGGTAAGCAATCCCCTTCAACAGAGACACTTTAAGACTAACTCTTGTCCTAAGGAAATTTGTTAATTTTCACTTTAATTTGCAATGTATTTACACATTTTAATGGAATTATATTATTATGTATATTTTGTACTTGGAAAAGCAAGAAATTAAGTCCTAAAACTTAAAAGTAGAGATGGAGGGCCCTCCCTGGTGGCGCATCGGTTAAAGCACAGCACTGAGAAGCTTGAGTCACTTTCGCATGAGTTCGATTCCTGCCTGCCCTGGAGGAGATCCACATGGCGCTGCAGACCTCTCCTGACCTGCCCACTGCTCCCCTCAGCAGTGTACTTCGTCGCTCTGCCTGTTCTGCTCCCCGCTCTGTCTCTGGTGAATGCTCTCACCCTCTGCATCTCTGGCCTGTACCCCAGTTCTATATGAATAAATAAGTAAAATCTTTAGAAAAAAAGAAAGTAGAGATGGATTAGGTGAAAATTACTTGAGAAATATCTGTGTATTTGACATTGGATCTGGATACATACTCTAAATTGCTAAGGGAATTAATTTATCTTTGTAGTAATGGAGATGTAGACCTAGATAGTAGATAATGAACTTTTTATATACCCAGAGTACTAGGGTACAGAGAATTTAAATTTTAATGATTTTTGAATTGATTAATGTTCTCTCCACCTTTGATTCAACTGAAAAATCAATACAATATTCTTCTTATCACATGTATTTAGAAAGTTCCAATATAGAAATTCTAGAAGGAGAGAACAAAGTAACTAGGGAAGAGGCAGTATTCAACATCAAAATAGGTAAGAATTTTCCAAAATTGTGAAAATCACAATTCCCATTATTCATATATCCTTAGTCCCAGAGAGAATAAGTAAGATAAAAATGTATACCATTTGCCATTTTTGTACACAGCAGTGTCTAGTAACATAATTGACAGTTCTAATTAGCTTTCCATTCTTACTTTCCTCTATACATTTATTCCCTCTTTTCTTTTCTACCTTCTAGCCCATTACCTTCTTCTCTACTAAACAAACTCCTACTCATTTTTAAAAACAAGTTATTTACTACAAACTTAGAAGATTTTCTTCTCTTTCAGAGAAGTTATTCATTTCTCCTTAACTACCCTCATTCACAGTTTCTCCCTGGAACTTGACATCTTCTGCCACCTGAACGTAGATAGCATCATTCAACTAAAACTCACTTCCAGCTCACATGTTACAAGAACAATAGTTTTCACCCTTAACAAGTATGTTAAGGTTAAATTCCTTAGGAAAAACATTTTAAGTAAGAATACCTTAAGAAAAAATAACCTTATAAAATGAATTCTCTATATTTTTAAAGATATATTTATTTATGCATATAAGAACTGGGATGCAGGCCAGAGGTGAGGGGGGAATGAGAGGATTTATTAGAGACAGGTGGGGAGAGGAACAAGCAGATTGACTAAAACACACTGCTGAGGTGAGCAGTTGGCAAGACAGAAGACTGCTGTGCCATGTGGGTCATCTCCCTGGCCAGCTAGGGATTGAACTCAATGCTGTAGTGGCTGGCTATCGTTTCATAGAACTGTCTTTAATTCCTGCGCCACCAGGCCCTGAATTCTCTATTATTTTAATGAAAAAAACATACAAAAGAAACAAAATGTGTAGTATGTTGTAAATTAAAAACACTTACAAGGCTCAGTTATACAAATTAGCCAGTGTATTACATAATTACTTGAAATATTCTTATAATTTTATATCCTCCCAAAAAATTCTTAAAAACAAAAATGTGAGATGAAGTGAACTGAAAATTTATTTATAAATTGTTTCCCTATGTTTTGTTTCATTTTGTCCAAGGACACCCTTACTCAGTACTGACTTCGAACTGTAATGCTGATTGTCTTTTTAAAGAAGTCTGCCATTATGTCTTATGTGCAAAGACAGTAGTACTTTTGCTCTGTGGTATTTGCCAACATTTATATATTCCTACTAAATAATAATTGCTTCATCTTAAATTTCAGTGTATCTTAAACATTCTTTTATGTAGCACATGCTTGATGAGCTCTAAATATATGCTGTTTCTCTTTTCTAAACTAGTAACATAGTACTATAGATGAATTTTTTTTTCTAAAATCTTTGCACACCAACTGCTCAGTGAATTCATTCATTTTAACATTTTCTGTTTTCCCTTCTCTGTTTCCATGGAGAAGTATGTCAGTGATGTGTTTGACTCCATGGAAACAGATGAGCATCTCTTTCTACATACACAACTAATTAAATTGAACATTTTCTGTGCTGCCCATTGTCCTGGAGGAGGGCTGAAGAGGCTTTCCTGGAATGAGACATCATTTTAATAATGGTTCTAGTGTTTAACTTGATACAATGGATTGATGCTTTAATATAACTCATTATATGTTAGAGTCCAACGGAGTAGGGTTCAGTCTCAGGCCCTACATGCATAGATACAGACTATCACTTATAGTCTATATTTATCAAATAGTTTGATATATATAGTTGAGTTTGATATAGTTGATAGTAGATTCATTTTAATACATTACAAGGAGTGTAATAGAAAAGGATGGATTTAGAGTCCACTAAATTTGAGTTTTGAGTTTTATCAGGTTGGACTTAAAACAATTGGGTCTTACGTAGTTTCAGAAATGTCACAAAACAAAAATCACTAAGCACTACAAAGAATAATAATATTATTTTCTTAGTGAAAGCCAAACAAAACAATGCACAAATATACAGCATGTAATGATTGACATTGACCTTCCCGCTAAGAGTGTTTGGGGCATTTGCAGTGGTAAATTAACCAAGCAGCACTACCCTAATTCTTCTATACCTTTAGATGCCCTGTCCATGTTTGAGCCAGTATAAATTTCTCTGAATCATTTTTGTAACATCTTCCAACACTGTGGCTAGGAGCATTATTTAAGTCTACTTCTTCCTTTACCTCAGCCCTGACCTTAAATGCCAGGGTCATTAAATATTTTGTAACTGCTTGCATACATATTTATGTGTGTATTAGTAACTTATCTGTAAATATGGCATATTCTAGATACAGGGGAAATATTTCTTGAAGGAGTGAGTAATATTAAAACTACTCTTTTAAGTGTCTTTGTTTCCCAAAAGTATGTAATCATTTTGAGGGCCATATTAATAGTGAGGATAATTACAGTATTATAATAATTGAGTAATAGTAGTGAAATTATCCATCATTCATAAAGTTAAGTTGTATGTTCCAGGCATTGTATTAAATGTTTTATAGCTTATTAACTCATTTAGTTAAGAAGTACTACAGGTTTGGAATATTCTTGATACTCTTTACTTTGTAGGTGAACACACTGAAATGTAGTAACTTGGTGAATAAATAACGGAACTGAAATTAAAGCCTAGAAGCCTGATTCTGAAATCCATACTTTAACATTAAGGTATGCACACTCATATCTGTGAGTCCACAGAGAATAAGAAAGACAGGGGAAAAAAAAAAAAAGCTTAGGTCTAAGCCTTAACTAATGAACTTACTGGTTCTCTAGACTGGACTTTTCTTACCTTTTTTGTCCTGTGTGCCCTTTTGACAATCTGGTGAAGCTAATGGACCTCTTTTCAGAATTATAAATTTAAGAAGTTGAATATAATAAATAGGAATCCAAACAAAATCATCTGTACTGAAATATAGTTATCAGAAGTATTTTAAAATTATAGCAGTATACCTGCAGCCATTTTTATTCATTAAATAGCAAGATTTAGTGGTAGATCTAACAACTGTGATGTTTTCAAGATATCAGTGAATGTAAATATTTTGAGATACCACAACAATTACAATGAGATAATATGTAAAAGTATTCTATAAAATTTCAAGTGCCCTCCAAATAGAATATGTTATAAATTATTATAATTCTCATTATATATGTTAGGACATTGAAACTCAGAAATTGGGAAATTTAGTTGCAGAGCTAATAAGTACATAATTGAAATCAAGCCAAGTCATTTGATTATGAATACCATGTTCTTTCTATTGTTCTTATGTTACCACTCTAAAAATAAGTAAATGTTTTTTTCAAATGACCACAAATGCTCAAGATGGTGACAAAAGATGCAAAAGTAGAAGTAGGTGAAAGGAGATGAAGTGCATCTTTGATGCCCCACGTGGGTAACATTTTAGAACAAGAATGTAAGATGTCAGTAGAGTATGTTGGATTTACTTGTGTTGCACAATGTGGTGCCACAGCTGTCGTTAGACTGGCACAACTTGTCACTACAAGTGACAGTCATTTCCTCTAACTGCTAGGGTTAGAGCTCTGGTTTCTGCACATACTAGCCCATTAACTACACAGATGCTCCTGCTTCAACCAGCCTTAAAATAACTGAGTGCTGTAGAGTAGTGACTTTTCTAATCACGATTCCAACTCAGCTTTCCAACTGTGTCCAGGCTGAGCATATGCAGAATGCCAACCCTAGTTAGGCAAGGACCAATTGGTCATAGATTCAAGGCTGTCTCTACGGTTGCCAAAATAATTAAAACAACACAGCACACTAACCAGCTGCTTTCCATATTAGCTGATCCTTACAGAAATGCACACTTAAATACTTTGCCATCCAGTCAATATTAATTTACATCATAAATCCTACATGTATACAACATGTTGCAGTTACTAAACATTTCCAAACAAGAAATTGACTCACTTGATCATCAAAATAGGCTAATATATAGTCTGGGCAGGATTTGGCTGGATATTATAATGAAAGAAACTAAGCAGCAAGTGAGGTGGGTAGATAGATACAAGCCTCTGTCCATTGCTCTCTATTATCAGAAGCCCAGACACTGATGGGATCTTACTACTCAGAAACTAGCCATGAAGACTCTATCCCCCTAAAACAACTCAAAACACGACCCAAGTGAGACAGAATACTGCTTTTTCTTATGAATGGGAGATACAAGCTTTCCTTTCCTTAATGCAGAAATTTTACCTTATAGGCACAATATATGGGATGGTGGTGCCATAATCCAATTTACTCCTCTCTGTTCAGAAGTAGAAATACCAGTTACACAAAAACAAACTATGTAAGTGGTTGAAAGTTTGAAGTTTCCCTGCATTTAACAGCAGACTTGGGAAGAATACAGCAATTAACCTAAAGTTTCATTCCTAAGGAGATGGAGTTACCTCTTAACCCCTTGGTACTGACTTTAGTTTGGCCCTGAGAAACCTAATCACTTAGGATTATCCCAGTATGTGATGATTGCCTGCATTTCTCAACATTTGTTCTTGTGACATAGTTCCTAAGAATAACTCTGTAGGGGGAAATAAGGATTTTAATTGCCATCATTTTGTCAATATTATGTACTACTATCTTTGCTTAACACTAATGTCCTCTAATTATGAAAGATAACTGGAGACTAACCTTATTGTAGCATAGTCTCTCTAAGTATCATTTGAATCCAGAAAGGTTTAAATATAAGAGGAACATGTTCTGCTATAATACATTTTAGTTCTGTTAATGAGTTTGGGTTTAAATGAGTCCTTACCTGAAATGCAGTGAAAGATTCTCAGAATCTTCTGAATTAGATATTGGAGATCCTTGTAGAAAGAGTAATACCTAGCACTCTTTTACCACTCAGAAGATGTGAGCACAGAGGTTTCTATTCTCAGATATGTTGAATCAAATGCAAACCTTAGAGCCATTTTCAAAATTCCTGAAAAAGAATATCTGCCTCTTTCAGGAATCATACACAACCTGAATATATTTCTGCATTTCAACCACTATGACCTTTCTTGGTATTTACCTGGATACATGGAAATATGGACCAGTACAGTAAGTTATTACCTGAGAAGATGGGTCCAATAAATCCCAAGTTTAAGTACATGTTGAAATATTTACAACTAAAACAGTACCTTAGTTTGAGGCCCAAAACAACTGAAACAGAAGTACAACACTTTCTCTTTCATCATCTAGCCTTTATATTTCCCCAGAGAAAAGATTTCATTTGGTCAGTTTTCTTTCCGCATTAGCAGAGTGCATGCCAAAGACACCTTAAGAGACTTCGACTCATAATTAATTTTAGCTAGTGTATGAATACTAGCTTGATAAACTAGTCTTGATAAAAATACTAATATTTTTCTACTTAAAATAAATGGTGGAAGCCTGGCATCTTTTCTTGTTTATAAGTTAAATTTTTTGAGGAACACTGTGATTGATTTTGCCCTTTTTTAGTGATTAGGTATTTAATTTGACAAATATGTAGGCATGTAATTACCACCACTATCAAAATATAAATATTCCTCACACCCCCTTATTCCTCTTTATCCCTTTATAAAGGATAAAGCAATCCCTCCCACATCCCAGCCTCTCGTCTGTGTCCCTATTGTCTTAACCTTTTCCAGAATGCCATGTAAATAAATCATACAACACATACCTTTTAAGACTGAGTTCTTTCACTTAGTGTGATGCATTTGAGATTATTCAGTGACATTGAGTAGATCAGCAGTTCATTCCTTTCTTTTTTTGAGCACTTTCTATTATATGGATGTACTAGAGTTTGTCATTTCACAGTTGGACAGTTGCAATGTTTCCAGATTTTAGCTATTATAAGTGAAGGTCCCATAAATATCCACGTACAGGTTTTTATGTGAACATAAACTTTTATTTCACCTGAGTAACACCTAAGAGAGATTATTGGGCCATGTAATAAGTGTACATTTAAATAATAAAGAACTAGCAGTTTTTCATAGTGGCTATACCAAATTGCCTTCCTGCTAGTGATGTCTGAAAGTTCTAGTTATTCTTCATCCTCATCAACATTTTACCTGGTGTTTTGGTTGTAAGTAGCAGAATTAGGGCAAAATGCACTGGTTCCTTATTGCAAAACCAGGAACCAACTGTGATTTATTTTTGTGTTTCTCATAAAAACACACCTCAATGCATGATACATGATCTATATTAAATAATTATTTGTTGACAACAGAAAGTAGTTCCATATCTCAAAATGTTAATTCAGCATAACATAATGGTTAAGAATAGAGTTTTACAGTGGGAGTAGGGAAATGCACTGGACTATGGTGATGGCACATGGGTGATTTGGTGATGGGAAGCCATTGGGGATTACAACTGAGATGGAAAAATTCACAAAATGAGGTAAAAAAAAAAAACAAAACTGTATTATTTTTTAAGTAAGTTGAAGAAAAAAAAAAAAAAAAAAAGAATAGTGTTTTAGAGTCCACAAGTCAATTTGAATTCTAGCACTCCCCCCCAACTTTCGTGGTAAATGTATACTGGCTGCTTCACCTCTCTGAATCTTCATTTGATTTGATATTTCTACTTCATAGTGTAAGTAAAATGAGGTAATATACTTAGTGCATTTATGTCAGCATTTATTAATTAACAGTAAATTTAGTTATTTGTTAGGTTAGTAATAACACTTGTCAAATATCACTATTTGTTTTTTATACTTCTAGGAAATTCTGCCCTTAAAGACAAGGAAGATCAATTTGGGAGAACACCACTTATGTATTGTGTATTAGCTGACAGACTGGACTGTGCAGATACTCTCTTGAAAGCAGGAGCAGATGTTAATAAAACTGATCATAGCCGGAGAACAGCCCTCCATCTTGCAGCTCAAAAGGTAAGAAGTAAAATTATTTTCAAAAAGTAAAGCTTTGATGTGATATTTGTTAGTTCACTAATGGGATGATGTAGTGGACAGGCAACCAAGAAATTACAACAAGATGAGTCTTAGTTTCATATGTTTTCTCTGAAAAGTCTTTAAACTGCAGAAAGTAAAGCACAGATAACCATCAATGACTACCTGTCCAAATTCCTTGACCAATGGAACTTACCATCTTATATGATTTATGACTTACTTTCAGTTAAGGAAAATGAATCAAAATTACATATACAGTTTTAATAGTCATCAAACTATATTAAAAATTATTTTGTGTGTACAAAAACAATAAAGACAAAGAACTTACAAAGATATTAATAGTGGTTGATTTTAAATATTGGAGTTATGTGAATTTTTATACTTTTCACTACTCAAGTTTTTCTTTTTTTAAAAAGATTCACTTATTTATATGTACAAAAACTTGGGTACAGGCCAGAAGTACAGGGGTAAGAGGATTCACCAGTGACAGAGTGGGGAACAGAACAAGCAGATTGACTGAAACATAATGCTGAGGGGAGCATGAATGAGACAGAGGGATCTGCTGTAACATGTGGGTCAATTCTCTGGCCAGGGATCGAACTCATGCTGTAATGGCTGCAGATGGCCTTATGGTGCTGCGCTTTAACCCCTTTTGCTACCAGGCGGGCCCCAATTTTTTCTTTATGAGTATTACCTTTATAACAAAAAAGCACAACCTCAAAATATGTCACATTATGGGGCATAAAAGAAATTTATTTTCTGAATGATTTTTGACTTCTAAAAAAATTCTAAAACTATATTACCAATATAAATTATCTCAAGTTTTGAAATACAGTAAGAGCTCAGATTTTTTAAGATTAAACATATAAAAAAATGTGTACCTTCTATAGTTATTAAAAAATGTATTTACCTGAAAGCTCCCTCCCTCCATTAAACTTTGGCATATAAAATAATTTCTTAGGATCTGATATTTTGTTGTTGTTGTTGTTACTTATATTTTTGGAATGAAAAGCAATGAAAATTAGTTAGATCCAAGTTATTTCCCATTAAAAAATGTGAATCAGATCTAGCTGATTGAGGGGTTAGAAAAATACCTTTTCATTAATTTAAAACATAAAAAGAGACTGACAGAAAAATAACTGCTGAATGTGCTACTTATGTGCACTGATCGGTTAGGTCTGTCAGGTTATTTCCAAAGTTATTGCCCCTGAATTTGCTTTTCATGATAGTATCTTTTTTTTTTTTTTAAAGATTTATTTATTCGTACAGAGCTGGGGTACAGGCCAGAGATGCGGAAGGTGAGGGGATTCACCAGGGACAGAGTGGGGTGCAGAACAGGCAGATTGACGAAGTACACTGCTGAGGGGAGCAGCGGGCGGGTCAGGAGGGGTCTGCCACGCCATGTGGATCTCCTCCAGGGCAGGCCGGAATCGAACTCATGCGGAAGCGGCTTTAGATTCTCAATGCTGTGCCCCAACCCGCTGCGCCACCAGGGAGGGCCCTCATGATAGTATCTTTTTAAACTATCTGATTTACAACTTCAGTTTTAACTATTGCTTAGTATTTATAACCTTTCACCTAGGCTTGTCAGTTGTTAAAATTATTCATTCAGGATGGGTAACTCCATTTAACTTGATTATCATAAAAAGTAAACATTTCAGACTGGAAATAGCCCCAGTATTAAGAAGTTGATATACTTTAGATATTTTGTTGTGATTCATTTAAAACTCAACTTCAAAAACGGAGTTTGGGAGAACTTAACATCAAGTGTATTGTGTGAAAAACAAGGATATGAGTTAATGATCGAACTGTTTGTCATCTTTGTAAAAATATAATGTGTTCAAAAAGGTTAAGAGGAGGAGTGAATGTACCATCAGACATGTTAGCTGTAAGTCTCTTCAGAAAATGCAGTGTATGCTTTTATTTTGCTTTTTGTTTCCCCTTTATATTTTTTTGTGATTTTTTTAGAGCCAAAGAATAAATAGAACTGATTTACATGTCATAGTTGATTTCATAAATACAAGTTTCATGCTATTTCAACTCTCAGATAATTATGCAATTTCCCTTTTTCTCTGTTGCTGTTTTTGCATGATTAGAGAAAACATCTTCACCTTAAACTTCCAGAATTTCTCTGTATTAAAATATACCAAACATAATCTCAAAGTGAAAGATCAACAATCACAAAAGGAAGTTTTCTAACATGAAAGTAGGCAGAAATGATACTTCAACAATGTAAAATAATCATTGATGAAATATTTAAACATCTTAAAAAGAAAGAATGAGAAAAGTGAGTAACCTGTTAGAGATTTTCATAATTAGGTATAATTTTTGACTGTGACCACTTCTTTTTGAATAATCCATCTGCCAAAAACAAATAAAAAAATGGAACAAAGTATGTACGCCATTTGAAGGCATTGAGAACAATCAGTATAGGTTGGATCCAAGAAGCTAAGTACATTCAAAAGAGAGTAGCATATGGAATTAGCTTCACATTCCTCCTGGCTTTTTCCTTTAAGACATTTTTTCAAGTTGAAATGATACAAGTCCACTAAGAAGCAGTATTCTTAATGCTAAGGCTAAGAGATTGAAGTAGAGTTTAGAGATGGATGTGAGTAAAACTCAAAGAGCAAGATTTGGTGAGAAGCAAACTACAGAGAAGAAACCCAAAAATCTAGTTACAGAGTCTTCACAAATCTTTAGCAGATTGCTGAATTGTCCTTATATAGGGTGAGACTGAAAAACCCAGCAGTAAACATCAGCTGGATACTAAAGAACTAACCAGAGATTGTTTAAAAATGACCATATATTTTCTTTCCTACTTAAGTATTTTAATACTTCACACACTGACTTTTGTAGAAAGATTCATTCTCATTTTAAAGCATATGAATAACTAATTTTCCCAGGACAACCTAGCTCATTAATTTTCAGCCACTTACCTGCTATGTTCCAGTGCCAAGCTCTTGTACTATGTACTTCCAGTACCACCTTCTTTTCTTCTAGAGAAGGCTCCTGAATATTAGGGAGCCACTAAGGAAATTCAGAAATAAAAATTACATGATCTACTTCCAAGGAAATAATCTGGTAACTAAAGTTGTTTTGGAAGAGCAGAGTGGAGTTTTATAGGAAGTGATTATCGTACAGACGAGTAGAGAGGAGGAAATGAATGCAGTAGGTATATTATGGACATAGAAGTGCTCATACTCTAAGTGTTTCTCAAACTTTTGCTATGTAATTATGATTATACACCTAGAGAGAATATAAAAAATGAATTATATATGTCTGCTATCAGTATTCGCAGCACTGATTCCTGTTAAGCTTTATTTCCCTTTGTTTAGTGAATTTCTCTGATATATCAGATATCAAATAGTCTTTGAATATTTCTATCCCACCTAATACTGTGAACATAGAAATGTACTACTTATGCAGTCATCAACAGGCATGTAGTGTGTATGCATGTATAAACATGTTAAAGCTGTTAATATGTAACAAGTACTATATTAAAGGTCTTGGAATACAAAGATGAAAGGCGTGATTCCTGCATACAAATATAAAGGCAGAAGTGACCGTTGAAGCTGGCCCATTTAGTTTCTAGTGCCTAAGTACTTTATAAATTATCACCAGACAATATATAAATAGTTGTTACTATCATTGACCTCAGATCAACCATTTTCATGTTATTTTATTATAATGAACTACATCATATTGGATTTATTAGTAGGAGAAACTCATATTCCTATAGCATTTTGCTCATGTCTCTATTAGAGCCTCATTACTTTATATTATAATTATTGCTTACTTGTCTCTTTCCCACTAGATTGGAGCTCCAGGCAAAAACCTTGTTTTATTTTGCTTCTAATCCCCTAGATTCTAACACCATGTTGACATGTCTTGATTAAATGAATGAATACATTTTATATTACTTAAATAGAAAGTCATTACTAATACAAATGCTAAATGTTTTGTTTCTTAGAAACATTAACCCAATTTTAAAATACATATATGGGGAAAACTGTGGTGATGGACATAGTAAATTTGATACATATTCAGTCTTTTGGAAACCAATTGCTCTTAGTCCATGCCACTAAGGGAATAGTACCCATGAGGATAAAACTAATCTCGATGTACTGAATATCTGCATCTAATTTGTTTTTATGTAGTATCCTCAGCTTAATTCAAGAAAGTCATCAGTCCTACCTTTTCTGGGTTTCTCACAAAAGGAATCTAATTGTTAGAAATGTTTTGCTGCAGGGAAGCTACTGTTTCTCTGACTTCCACAGATATAGTTATTTGTTTATAAGGATTTTAAAAACCTTTAACAGTCTTATTAATTGTTAACCGTTAATACATTTATAATCTTCCAGGAATTATTAACTTGACTTCAAGAAGATTAAGACACCCAGTTTGAAAAGTTACAACATGTTGAACACAAAAATTAAAAAGCTTCAGGCTGCAGTTCTGTTTTTACCTTTTTTAATTCCCAAAAATAATTTTTGATTCTTTTATGAAAACAAAATTAATCCTGAGTTTTCAATGTGTTGTGTCCATTTTAATGATCTATAAAAAGTATAAAATACACTTTCAGGGGAACTTAATACAAGGTAACAGTATTAGATTTTCTTATTTTACACATATATACTTACAGACATACACACTGAGCAGTCCACTCCCCAGTTCACTTCAATTCTATACTAAACTCCCTCAGTGTCTATATACCTCCACCACAATTCCTTACCTATCACACTTTAGTAAGGATTTCACTTATCTTTATTTTACTCCACTAATGATATTGAAGACAAAGACTGTCTCTAATTTTATAGTTCTAATCTTAGCACAGTGCCTGCTACTTTATACGCATTATTGTTTGATTAATGAATATATGAATTCATAAATCAACCACACAGTACATGTGAATATCATATAAACAATGTGAATGATATGTGGTTTTAAAAGTTTAAATGCTAAACATTTTGTTTGTTAGAACC